TAATTACATATCATATATCTATTAAAACTATCTGAATTCCTAACAATCTTTTTAATCTAACGCTACTGAAAATACAGTGTAATTTGACTCCAGAATACCTTTTAACGTAAATTTTCAGTATTACAAAAGTAGTTGTTTGGTACTACTGAAACGCTTATTTAGCATATTTCAGGGGGTTCTTTAAGTCAGCAAATTAGTTGTGGTCTGAAATGTTCGCCTTGCTGCTGCAGATTATGTGGTGGAACTCTGTTGTATAATTTGTACTGGAACTGTTCTGACATCATTGGGGCTGCCATTCAGTGACTTGTGTTTACCTCAAGGTTTTTAGAAATGTAAAGAGGACAGAGGATTAATAGTTAAGGTACTCCACAACTGTCATGAAGAGAAAGTCACAGGCAAGCCTTTGAGAGTTTATGACTTTGGAAGGAAAAGAGACTTGTTTTAAGTGTTATTAGCTGCAAAGCCTACATAAATTGAGAAAGGTGAAGTGTATTCTCAGTTGTCTTGTTCTTGGGAGCAAAGACGACCTTTGTAGGGAACAATTTCCTTATATTACACTTGAAGCCATCACTTGAGCTGTTTGGCTAAAAATTAGGATCTTCAAGCATCAGGTATTTTGCTGCTAGCTGGTACTTCAGGTACAGCTAGTTAGCATAATGGGTTTTTTCTTTCTGTTAACCTGTGTAATGTCTCTTATTTTTCAGACTACCTGCTCTCTAACAACTATGTAAATTCTATTATCGTCCACAAATTTGACTTTTCTGATGAGGAGATCATGGCATATTACATATCATTTTTGAAAACTCTTTCCCTGAAACTCAACAATCATACTGTACATTTCTTTTATAATGAGGTAAGTGAAGAAAGAGTTGCAGTATAATGATAAGAGGACTGTAATTAGAAATTGATAGCAATTTGGCACATAATCTAATTTAGTCTCTTGTCTCAGCAAGTCCTGCATTTATTTTTATAACGGTAATATCAGTGATTGAGAAATCATTTGTGGGGATCTCTGCAAAAGCATGATAAAGAAGGTCTTTGTCCTCGTAACAACTGTAAGATTAAAATCTGGAAGTTAGCGCTGTATTGGACTGTTTCAGTAGTTCTAAAGTCCGCTTCCCAGAGAATTTAACTTGTTTATGCCGTGTTTTCCTGTGCTTTTATAAACAGGATCTTTTCTGTTGCACCACTTGGTTCTAAGAGGCTTAGTCAAAGTCTAAAAAGCCTGAGTAATTAAAGGCCAAAGTTCAAATGGATTTTTCCTTGCTCCTTTCCACTTTTTGCCAGAAGAGGGCATTAAAGCACTGAATATGTGCAGAGTTAACATGGAATGCTCTGACGCCTAAAGCAGTTTATTTTAATGCAGAGCTACAAATGCAGCTGACATTGTGTTGTAAAATCATTTTGATTACTTAAGTAGAAGACAAAACTATCAGAGTAATACATGGAAAATATTTTGCATATGGAATCCCAACAAATATTCTGTACATGTTTTGCTTAATTCATAAATACTTTTTTCCCCTCTTGTTACAGCATACTAATGACTTCGCCTTGTACACTGAAGCTATTAAATTTTTTAACCACCCAGAAAGCATGGTCAGGATTGCTGTTAGGACTATAACTTTAAATGTATACAAAGGTATGCTTTTTATATATTAAAAAAGGCATGTGTACAAAATGCTTGTTTCATTGTAGTTTAATTTTCAGGTATTTACATTTAAGGGGTTTCTGTCTGTTTTATGAGATTGAAAAGCTTAGCATGTTGACATGCTTCAGATAAGCATTTTGGTTTTTATGAAACAGAACCCCAGACCTACAGCACATACTTGTAAGTGCTTCTAAATAGTATTGTTTCGTCACAGATGAAACTGGCTTAAAAACCCAAAAGACTATCAAGCACGCACAAAGAATTTTAGCTTCTCTTCCAACAGAGATCAGAATGTGACTGTATTTAAAAAATAAAAAACCAAAATGACTCTGAAACCAAAGTGCTTTAAGAAAATAAAGTATTTTTAACTTACGAATTTGAGCTTTATAATGTATGAAGCAGTAACCTTGCTGGCTGCATCACTTCTTTTTGGATTTGAAGTGCATTAGGATATGATTGTAGAGCTCCTAGGTGCTACAGTCACTCCAGTCTAAAGAAGGGCTAGACCATTCCCAGAGGTGCCCAGTGAATGCCAGGAGGCTACAGTCACAAATTCCTGTACTGGACATTCCAATAGGTCATAAACAAAAAAAAGCCAAAACTTCACTGTGAGAATAGTTAAGCACTGCAACAGGTTTTCCAGAGAAACTGAGGAATCTGTATTGTTTGAGATCTTCAAAACTCAACAAGGCCCTTAGCAACCTGGTTGAACTTTGAAGTTAACGCTACTTTGAGAATGGGTTTGGACTAGACAACGTCCGAAAGTCACTTCCCCCCTAAATCTCTGTAGAAAAATTGGTGCGTATTCAGAACTTTTACTTCTGAAATCAGCGTGCTGTAAGGTAGTATGTAGTATGGAGTATGTTCCTGCAGGGCTTTTTATTCTTTAATCCATTTTAAATTCAGTTACATTTTGAATTTACACAACTTTCTGTTAATTAAGAGAAGTAGTGATTTGATGACAGTCTTCGTCATAGAAGAATGTAAGATCTGTTTTAAAACAGTGAACTTTGCAAATAACTGGATAGCCTGCATAGCAGATAGGTACTTTATAGTGTTGACTGCAAGGGACAAAATGTCTTTCTTTTGTAGGTTGAGAAATAGGCACTTGGTACTTGTTTTTTACTTCAAGGACCTGTAAACCCAAATATGAGCTTACTGAAAGAGCCAAGTGCCAGCTTCATATCCTATTAATGTAACTAAATATTTTTATGGTAAAAAAATGTACTTGTCTAGAATTTTCATTGAATCTTGTAGTGATACAAAGGTTAGAGTTGAAAAAAAACCAGCTCAGATGTTCGGATTTCATAACTTTCTGACTATCCATTTGCATATATTCTGATCTAACACCTACCCTGTATCTTTTAGTTTAGATGCTTTGTGCTTTAGCTTTTTAAACCCTTTTGGACGATGTCACTATCCCAGCTCCTAATCCTGTTAACTGTTGTCTGTTTCTTTTGCCCTTCCTTCACTGATGATTCCTGTGTTCCTTAATGCAGTGTCATGTAAGTCTAACTAGCTTGACTTTCAGCATTACTGCTTTATTCTTACGCTTTTTTCTTCTTCTTTTTAATAAAGAATGTGCTAAAAAAACCTTTCTGAATCGCACTAGATTTATCTTCAGACCTATGTAAATATATCAGTATTAGGCTCATTCAAGCCAATTAAGAATTGATATGACGCTTTTGTATATGTCCATTTCATGCATAAGATTGTCAGGTATATACTCGTATGAAAAGCTAGCATGTAATCAAAATTCAGAAGATACTTTGTTGTATTTCTCAAAAATTAAGAAAAAAATTTGGCAACTGATTTTTCTTTCTAACAATTTCTCTTCAGTGGACAACCAACCTATGCTGCATTACATTAGAGATAAAACTGCTGTCCCTTATTTCTCCAACCTCGTTTGGTTTATTGGAAGCCATGTGATAGAACTGGATAACTGTGTGCAGACTGATGAAGAGTAAGCTTTTACAAATGCTTGGTATTGAATGGAAATGCTTTTCCCAGATGTTGATATTCTCCTTATTTTGTCTGTAGTAGTCCAGTTAAGTTAGTTTCTGAATATGATCCTTGTAGACAGTTCAAGGTTTTCATTCTTGCAAAGTTTTTTAGTGATTCTTTGAATTAATAGTGGTTAATGCTGTGTCCCCTATCTGTGCTAATATCCATACAAGTAAATTAGTGTTTGGCAACATGCTTTTTCTTCATCTTTGTTTTAATTCTGCTAAATTTAGTAGATATCCAGAATACAAAAAAGGTATTTTGTGCCTCTCAGTCTTATTAACTGTGTCTTTTTAATGTTCCTTTTCTGTGTATCATCTCAGTAGAACAGCTTTCTGAAAAAATTCTAGGAAAAAAAGTTAAACTGGAAAGTTGAACACTTATTTAATATGCGAACTGTCAGACCTGAAATTCCTGTGTAATATTTCACTATCAACTACAGAAATATTTTGTTGGTTCAGGTTATTCTTTGTTTGCCTTCCCTCCCCCACCTTAGAATGGATGGCTGTTTCTCAATTTCTTAAAGTGAAGAGGTAGATGTTAAATACAACATAGATTTCTCTTTTATTTTTGGAAACAAATCTTACCATTTTTTTTATGGTTGGCTTGTGAAAAGACTGGCAGTGGAAAGCGAAGTTTTGTAAAAACATTACTTCTGAAAACTTGGGGAAAAACTTGATATGTGCCTCCTAAAGCACAGATAAGCCTGAATACTGTTTGTTAGCTGCATTAGTTGACTTCACGGAAAACGTGTTCTTTAGGCAGTTGATCTGTGCAAGGTGATCTGTGAAAGGGATGCACATTAATTCTTTCCTTAGGTTTTTAAGACTTTGATGATAGATTATATCTGAGACTTTCTTTCTGCTCTCTTTTTCAGGCACAGAAATAGGGGCAAACTGAGTGATCTGGTAGCAGAACATCTTGATCATTTACATTACCTTAATGATATCCTTATCATTAATTGTGAATTTTTAAATGATGTCCTGACAGACCACCTACTTAATAGGCTCTTTCTTCCCCTCTACGTGTATTCACTAGTAAATCAAGATAAGGTAAGCTAATACCTGCAAACAATTAAGTCTTAAAGGTATTACTTGCTTTCAGTATGCATAATGATTTGTTCAG